TTTTCCCCCCTGCCCCCCAAGCCCCAGTAGATAGTTGTATGTCATAGTTGCACATCCTTCTAGTTGCTGTATGTGGGACGCGGCCTCAGCATGGCTGGAGAAGTGGTGCATCGGTGCGCGCCTGGGATCCAAACCCGGGCCGCCAGTAGCAGAGCGCGCGCAGTTAACTGCTAAGCCACAGGGCGGGCCCTGACAATTTCTTTTCTTTTTAACACAATATTACACTGTATATATATACCACATGTTGTTTATCCATTCATCCATTGATGAACACTTGGGTTATTTAACACCTTGTGGCTCTTGTGAATAATGCTGCTATGAACATTAGTGTACAAGTATCTGTTCAAGTCCCTGCTTTCAGTTCTTTTGAGTATATATCCAGAAGTGGAATTGCTAGGTTATATGGTAGTTCAGTTTTTTGAGGAACTGCCATACTGTTTTCCACTGTGGCTGCACCATTTTACATTCTTACCAAGAATGCACGAGGTTTCCAATTTCTTCACATCCTCACCAACACTTGTTATTATGTGTCTTTTTGATAATAGCCATCCTAGGGAGTATGAAGTGGTATCTCTTTGTGGTTTTAATTTGCATTTCTCTGATAGCTAATGATGTTGAACATTTTTTCATGTGCTTATAGGCCATTGGTATATCTTCTTTGGAGAAATATCTATTTAGATTCTTTGACAGTTTGGGGGGATTGTCTTTTATTATTGAGTTGTAAGAGGACTTTATATATTCTAAATTCAAGTCTCTCATCAGATATATGACTTGCAAATATTTTCTTCATTGCCTAATTGAAGGTTATGAAGATTTACTCCTATGTTTTCTTCTGAGAGTTTTATAGTTTTAGCTCTTACATTTAGGTCTCTTATCCATTTTGAGTTAATTTTTGTATATGATGTAAGGTAGATGGTCCAACTTCATTCTTATGCATGTGAATATCCAGTTGCTTATGAGCATTTGTTGAAAAGACTGTTCCTTCTCTCCATTGTCTTGTCTTGGAAAACCTTGTTGAAAATCAGTTGACCATAAATGTAAGAGTTTATTTCTGGACTCTCAATTCTATTACATTGCTCTCTATTTCTGTGCTTATGCCAGAACCACAGTAAGTTTGGAAATTATTACTTTTTCGACTGATACATACTCACTATAAAAAATTTCAGTCAATACAGGGGCCAGCTTGGTGGCATAGCAGTTAAGTTTGTGTGCTCCACTTTGGCGGCCCAGGGTTCGCAGGTTCGGATCCTGGGCGCAGACCAACACACCGCTTGTCAAGCCATGCTGTGGCAGCGTCCCATATAAAGTAGAGGAAGATGGGCACAGATGTTAGCTCAGGGCCAATCTTCCTCAGCAAAAAGAGG